GTCACTTGAGGAATTAAGAAACATTCTTTTGAAAATTGCTGGATGTTTAGAAGTTAGTGCTGAGGATACAGCAGAATGAATGGTGTCTGATTCGTCGGACCCTGGGTCTCTAATTCTAAATGATGAACTTATTGAAAGTGTGGGAGAAGAGGATGTCGAGGAAGAAGATGACCTTAATGTCGAAGATGAAGCAGATAGTGAAGCGTTTGCCGGCCTTGAAACTGCGATGAAGTGGACGGAGTGTCAGCCCGAGTGTGATCACATGCAACTTCTCATTGTCGAACGAATGCGCGACTTGGCTTCCCCGAAAATGGATTAAGACAGTCAAACAGCTTACTTTGACCGAGATGTTTAACAAGCGATGGCTTTCAACACTTGTAAGTACTGTACAGTAAGTTATATAACATGTACGTAAAAGTGCTGCTGTATCACTTTAATTTAAACCTCTTTTTCTTTAAAAATAATTTTTTTGTCCGTTTTCAACATACAGTACATACAGCAATTAATTAAAGTGTACGTAGACCCTCTTTTCGGAAAAAATCCGATTATCCGAATGGGGTCCGGTCCCAACTGATTCGGATAATTGGAGTTCTACTGTATCATCATAATTTTCGATTTTGAAGAATTAAATTGGAATGGGAGCGCGTCTTTCCGATGTCATCTTTAAAAAGTAAAGAGACACTTTTGGACATTTTGATTGTAGAAACATAAATGGCATGCTGAATACATGCACTTTCGTTAATAAATTACTAGTTTTATGAATTTATTCGTGGAAATGACGTTATTTCGAAATTTTCCGTTTCCCTGCGTCAACCTGTATTACAAACTTCGAGGGGAGATAGAGTACAACTTAAACGACTAGGAATCCCACACGAATGGCGGTGGGAAATGCCTTCCTAAAGTGATGGACGGCATTGAATAGGCGCGGGTGTTTCGAGCTAGCTTGTTTCGAAGCTTCATTTCCCATTTTGAAATTTTTAGACACAGAATAGGAGAAAAAAGGTGTTTACTACTCGCTGTTCACAAACATAAAAACAAAAGTAACAAAAGTGAAGTACAACTGATATCAAAGGATGTGCTCGAATAGACGAACCACGCATGAGAAAGAGGACTCACATTTTTTCTGCATGGAAGTTCGAACATTTTTAAACGTTCCAGGAGTGTCTTCTGTTTACCCGTCAGCTGCAACGATGCGTGCTATAAGGTGCTCGGCGCTGTCAACGGCCTTTTAGTAGACAAGGAATTCCATGTGCTTCCAGAAGAAGTAATCCATACACGATAGGTCTGGCGATCGGGCAGGCCAATTCACTGGATCACCACGGCCGATCCATAGTTGCCAAATGTTGTATTCAATTGGTTCCGTACGGAAAGGCTGAAATGGGCGGCGGCTCTATCTTGTTGGTACCTTAGGGAAGGATGCGACATGGAGCGGAAACATTTGAGTTGTACAATAATTCTGGTAACATGTTTTCCAAAAATATCAAGCAGTCTGCACATTTTCAGGCGATCAGGCAACAGGTGTTTCAAAATATTCTAAGATTGCTATAAATCGACATCAATCACTTTTAAAATGAAACCTTTAATATGAACAATATTTACAGATCATTAATCAAAACATGGTGGTTCAGTTGTTAAACAAATCTATGTGCTTTCGCAATCGAAATCTTTCAAATAGTAACCGTAGTGTTCCTAATCAACTAGTGTGCGAAGCATCAAACATCCATCTATCGAGCTGCCGGTGGAGAGTCTATGGAAATTCAGAGGGCACGTCGCGTTTCACACGCGAAGCTAGCGCCATCTATCAATTAACCAAATAATTTCCACACACTCCCCACCTTAACTCTGTGAAGAGTTCACATTAAGCTAACAACAATAAATTTTTTTCAATAAGCATTTTAACATATAATTATAAAACAATTAATAAGTATATTAAATGGATAGTTTATAATCACTATACTAACTTCTAAAAAATGTATGTTAAGATCAAATGCAATTTGACACTACTGCAGTAAATCTAAACTATTCTTAATCTACTCATATGAAACTAAATTTGCAAAATAAGAAATTGCATTAAAATATTCAATCTTATTCATATTATTAAACAATAATTTTTTTAAAGTTCTAAAGGATATAATAATTGAACTTGTCGTTTTATTATTGTTCCATCAGCAGTTTTTAGTTCACAAGAACGAACTTTGTTATCACGACCACGAAAAACGTTTATCACTCTGCCACAGTTCCACAAAAGTTTACACTTGTTGTTGCCTTCGATTAATACAAGATCATCAACTTTTAGATTATCATAAAAGTTAGGATTTTTTAATTGATGAGACGTCCGAAGATCCAACAAATATTGTTTTTTCCATTTAGTCCACAATTGTCTAACCAACAAATCTTGATAAATCTTTCTCTTGGTCAGAGAGGACTTGGTAGAGCCATCTTTAACAATAGAGTTAAAGTTAATAGGTAATGTAGAATCTTTGTTTCCAAAAATAAAAAAAAAAAAAAAAAAATTGACTGGCTTCAGTGGCAACGGTTTCTTGTGGTCATTGTATACATATGTCAAAGGACGAGAATTCAAAACAGCTTCCACTTGTGCTAAAACCGTTGACAATTCTTCAAACGTGAGTAAAGCTTTATCGTAATTTTTTTTAAGCACTCTGACTGATTTTACTAATCTTTCGTAGAAGCCTCCCCACCAATAAATCTACGAGAACTTCCAACTGATTCTTTCATTCGCCAGAAAATTTTGGAATTTCTCATTTGACAATAGTTTAGAGAAATGTTCGTGTTACGAGTTTGAAATATTACTTTCTTTGAACTTTTGTGGCAACACTGCGCAAGCGCGAGTGGAGATCGTCTAGGAGGCAACGAGGAAGAGAGTTTCACTCTCGACGTACGCAGTCATTAAGCAACGATACTTCCGTTCTCGGTACGAAACAATGTAACTGTAATTTCTGTAATTGTAAATAATACTGTTCATTAAAGTTTGTGTTGTAAAACTAACTTACAGTCTACTAATTCGACGGATACAAGTACATTTTCAACGTCGACCCGATGAAGTTCGAACTGTTTTAAATGAAAATCTGAAAGGCGAAACGATTAACGAAAAAATGGCTCCTGTGGAACTCTCGCAATTAACAGTCTTTAATCGAAAACGAGGATATATAAAATCGCAAATAACGAGAATAAAGTCATTCTTTACAGGATGAAGTGCCAGTGGATAATACGGATATTATTCAAAAGCTTCAAGCAGTGGACAAACTACGTTCTAAGTTAGAAGATTTACGCAACGAATGCTACAGCACGCCTCGATGATCTGCAAATTGACCTCGAAACATGCGAGGTAAGCTTTCAAAAGATTCTCAATCAAAATTCTATTGCAAATGTTAAAAGTAGTCCGTCCTCTGGCAACTGTAAAGTAAAATTGCCGTCAATTAATCTTCTCTAGTTCTCAGGTTTATATGCCGAATGGCTATCATTCAAATCACAGTTTATGGCATTAATTGATAATAATGATCAGTTGTCAGAACAACAAAAATTATATTATCTTCAATCAGCACTCAAGGGTAATGCCAAACAACTAATAACAGTAAATGATACATATACGTAATAGTTTATTCGAAGCTAATTGATAATAATGATCAGTTGTCAGAACAACAAAAATTATATTATCTTCAATCAGCACTCAAGGGTAATGCCAAACAACTAATAACAGTAAATGATACATATACGTAATAGTTTATTCGAAGCATTGAAAAAACGTTTTGAAAACGCACGGTTGCTTATTATGAGTCATATTAATGAAATATTTAACTGCTCTAAAGTTAAATGCGAATCCGCATCTAATTTAAGACAGATGTTTGATAAAATCGAAAGTAATTAGCGATCCTTAAAACAATTGGAATTACACACAAACCCTCTTTGTGAAGCAATCTTAATATATGTAATTCTTCAACGAATAAATATTGATACTCGTAAGTTATACGAAATGGAATTAGGTTCTGAATTACCGAGCTGGGCAAAGTTTACAGAATTTATAAATAAAAGATGCCAAGCTTTGGAAAACGTAAACAAAGGTATGGGAGGAAATGAATTTAAACGGGAATTAACTCCGAAATTCAAGACGCTAATAGTAAAAAATGACAAAAATAATTGTATGTTAGGATGCACCGAATCACACCCCATTTTCAGATGTAAAAGGTTTATTGAATTAAAATACGTTAGAAAGTAAAATACGCTAGAAAGTTTAATCCGTGTTATAACTGTCTCGGATTTCATGCAATGTCTAAATGCAAGAAAATTCATTTAAAGTGTAAAACATGTAACAAAAATCATACTACGCGGAGCAAATTTCGCGTTCGAAAGGCAAAAACAAAACAAAAATTAGCATGATTTATTATTGACAGTGGAGCCGATGAAAAGAAAGAAATTTTGAAACCCAAGTGTTGCGCAATCACCGGTGCCAGATGGCTCAGTTAGCGAACCGCGAAACGCTTCTTGTTTTTATTCACTTAATACAAACAAAAATGTTCTTCTCTCCTCGGTCAGAGTTAATTTAAAGCAATCCAATGGGAAATAGTTAAAGTTAAATGCGTTATGTGATTCAGCCTCGATGCGAAAATTAATAACTGAGGAAGCAGCTGATTTATTAGGCTTTCAAAGATCGAGATGTAGAGCAGATTTAATTGGATTGAAAAATATTTTAGTTCCGATTACGGAAAAAATTTGTACGCGCATAGCTAACGACGAAGAATCTTTCAGTAAGGAACTCGAATTCTTAACTTTGCCAGAAATTGCTGGAAATGTTCCAGGTGAAAAAAATTGATGTCAAAAATTTAAAATTGCCAGGCAATATAAAGTATGCTAATCCTAAATTTTATTTACCTAAAAAAATATCTCTTCTTTTGGGAGGTGACGTGTTTTACGAATTATTAAGAGGAAACCAAAACCAGTTAAGGGATAATTCTGTCACGTTAATTGAAACAGTTTTCGGATGGATGGTAACAGGTTCTATTCCCGTCGTGTCTCCAAGTAATTCTCGATGTTATTTTATAAAAGATGGTGTTGATGAGGGTTTAAGACAATTCTGGGAATTAGAATCAACTGGTGTCCTCCAAAGTGTAGGGCCATAACACTCTTTAAGAATTCTGTGTGTTATAAGGAGAGGAGGTACGAAGTTGGGTTACCATGGAAGCGCGATTTTAAGGATTTAAGTGATAATTTAGCAGTTGCCAGGAGACTAGTACATTTGAATAACGACTACCGAGAGATACTGAATGATTATGAAACTCAGGGTATCATCGAAAAGGTTCCAAATGACAAGGTAGAAAGTGATAAGCCCTTGTTTTATCTACCATTTTCAATGGTTTACAGAGACTCCGTCAGTTCCAAGAAACGAATCGTTTTTGATGCCAGTGCACATGAACAGGGTGAACTTTCCCTGAATGACGCTGGACTTAGCCTTAACCCTCTGATATTCAACATGCTTGTCTTCTTCCGTTTGAATGCGGTGGTCGTCTTAGCAGATATTGAGAAAGCGTTTTTCCAGATATCTTTGCATGGAAAGGATCGAAATGCAGTACGATTTCTATTTCCAAGTAAAAACCCAGGTACAAATGAACATTATGGTATCCAGATTTTCAGATTTTGCCGTGTTCTGTTTGGCGTCAACGCCAGTTCTTACTTGCTGTCTGCCACCATTAAAGAACACATCGAAAAGTTTCGAGAGTTGCATCCCGCGACGGTGGAAATGCTCGATAAATGTCTATATGTCGACGATTTTGTTGGAGCTCTCGACAACGTCTCATCTGGTTTCAAATGTCGTGTGAAGCCAAAAGGATTATGGCTGACGCAGGAATGAATTTATGTAAATGGAGTTCGAACAGCAAAGAACTATTACAAATATGGGAAGACAAGGGGTTCAAAATCCATCCCATTCATTCAGAGGCCGGTCCTACTGACAAACTACAAAAGGTTCTCGGTCTTCCGTGGCACGTGCATCAAGACTACATCATTATTGATGTGAAAGATTTACTCGAGTATAATAAAGGAAGAAAGTGTTACAAAAAAGAACTGTGTTAAAAACAGCGGGGAAAATCGTACGATGTGCTTGGTCTTTTAACGCCGTTTACAATCAGACTCAAATGTCTATTCCAAGAACTGTGGCTTAGGAAGTGTTCATGGGATGCAGAACTTCCAGCAGACCTTCTTCAAACGTATACTCAATGGAAGCTTGAGTTATCTGATTAACTTACAATTAACTCAAGATTAACTTGAGTTAACTTACAAGTCCCTAGGATTATCCTCGACGGTAGCCTAGGTGATGCCAACGAACTTCAAATCCACATCTTTTCCGATGCCAGCCAAAGGGCATACAGAACTGCAGTATACTTAAGAGTTAAAAATGTTGACAAAATCTCGGTAAACTTAATTGCTTCGAAGAGTCGTGTTGCCCCATTAAAGAAACTGTACCAAAACTTGAACTCATGGGGGCTTTGCTCCCAGCCAGACTTTCGAAAGAGGTAGAACAAAATGTAAAACGAAAAGGGACACATACAGTTCATTTTTTGACAGACTCCCAGATCATATTGTTCTGGATTAAAGGACCTTATCATAAATGGAAACAGTTTGTTTCTAATCGTGTGAAAGAGATTCAGGCTCTTAGCAATCCTGAAGCTTGGTCACACATACCTGGTAAACTAAATATAGCTGACATTGTAACAAGAGGGGCTAGTGTAAAAGATCTTTTAAAAAATGAGACTTGGTCGTCAGGTCCTGAATTCTTAAGAAAAAATGAAGTCTCAGTATTTCAGGGTAATAATTCTGTTCCTGAGGAATATTATATTTCAGAATTGAAAAAAGGTTCCTGTGTAGAAGGAGATATACCTCTATGTTTTGCTGTAACTAACCAGAATGTTTTGTTTTATAATGATCTGCTTAAAATTACTAATAATTTTCTAAACTTATTCGTATAGTTTCTTATGTTTTTAGATTTATTTATAACTGTAAAAATCCTAAAGACAAAAAAGGTGGGTATCTGAAGTGTCAAGAGTTGAACAATTCAGAATTTAAAAGCAATAGCTATTGACAGGGGCTTTTCACCCAACATTATTAATCAAGAGTTAAAAAAAAATCCTCTGAACACACTAAAAGCCACACTTTATTTTAGGAGATTATAAAATTCTGTTGCCATTCCCTTCTTTCCATCAATAGCTATAAAGTTGCACATATTTGCAGAAATTTAAACTTTCGGGTTGTTTATATTCTCCATCAATAAAATTCCAACTTCTATACTCAGGACCCCATTCCGGATATGAATTCCTGGGTATTTATAGGATCCTGCCAGTGTGGTTTAATTTACATTGGCCAAACTAAGAGAGCCTTAAAAATTTTCGCGTCAAGAACATGAGGCATATGTTAGAAAAAAGGAAACACAGAAGTCTTCGTTGCTCAAACATTGCTGGTCCGAAAATCACACTTTCAATTTTTCTGCTGCCAAAATTATTCAAAAAACATCTTCCATTGGAGAACTGGATTTTCTAGAGGCATTTCACATTCATAAAATCTTTCTGTTCTAGTTAACGATCCTAATTTCCAATCCAAATTTGCCTTCGGCTTTTAGAGAAATTATGTTTAGTTCTGGTTTCGCCAACAGATGGCGCCATTGCTTATTTTTCTTGTTCAGGCTTTCTTATCTATCTTATCTAATCATATTTTCCTATCTTGTTCATTGCGGTTTTTGAAGCTGAAGATGATGGTTCGGTAAAACCATCGAAACTAGTCCTGTGAAAATTTGTAGGTATAAACGCTGATTTTTGTTGTTTGACTTCTGAATTAGTATTTATTCGGCGTGTTATTGTGTCTTAATTAATTCAGAATTTGTTCTCTTAAAATTTTCCCAAAGTGAGTATTCGGAAGAAATTTCTGCCTTAATCAAAGGTGAGAATGTAAAAGGTAAAAGTAAATTAGCTTCTCTTAATTGTTTTCTTGATAAAAATGGTCTTATTCGCGTTGGAGGACGAATAATCAATTCTAGTGTTAACGATAACATTAAACATCCTACTGTCCTCTCATCTAAACATCCCTTAACTTACATGATTGTAGAGTATTTTCATTTGAAATATTTGCATGCAGGATCGCAGACTTTACTGTACCTAATACGGCAAAGGTATTGGCCGTTAAGCGGTAGGAAATTGTGCAGATTGGTGATACACAATTGTGTCACGTGCACAAAGAACAAACCAGTTGTAGAGCAACAGTTGATGGGCCAACTGCCTAAAACTAAAAAACGCATAGAACCTTTCTCCTCCATTACGGTTACCGGCATAGATTTTTGCGGACCCTTTTACGTGAAATTCAAAGGACAGAGGAAAGGGGGTATTGAATAAGATATATGTTGCAATTTATGTATTTTTTTTTTGTACTAAAGCAATACATCTAGACTTTGTGAGTGATTTAACATCAACAGGTTTCATTGTTAGTTTGGAAAGATTTTTCTCTAGGCGAGGCAAGGCTTCTAAGATTTTCACTGACAATGGACGAAATTTCGTTGGCGCAGATGCCGAGCTAAAAAAATTCTGAAAATCGTAAATTCTCCAGATGAACAATTAGTTCAATATTTCACGGAGGAAACAATTGATTGGCATTTTAACCCTCCAGGATCTCCTAATTTTGGAGGATTGTACAAAGCCGGCGTAAAATCTTTTAAGTATCATTTAAAACGCATAGCCGGAAATTCTCATTTTACTCTGGAAGAATTCATTACAGTATTAGCGGAAAATTGGAAGGATTCTAAACTCCAGACCATTGACTCCATTGTCGGCTGATTTTGATAACTTTGAAAAACCAATCCCAGGGCATTTCCTTATTGGGAGACCCATCACTTCCATCGCAGAACCCCCACTTACAGATATCAATGAAAATAGGTTTAGCAAGTTGGAAAAGGTTTCCAGATGCTTTCAAAGAATCTGGAAGCTTTGGAAAAGAGATTACTTAAATAATTTGCAACAACGCCATAAGTGGCAGTCCAGTAAGAATAACATAAAGGTTGGAACCTTGGTGCTGGTAAAGGAAGAAAACCTACCATGCACCAAGTGGTTAACAGGAAGAGTAGAAGAAATATTCACTGGAAGTGATGGGAAAGTAAGAGTTGTGAACATACGCTTGCCACAATGGCAAGATACTTAAAAGATCTGTACGATATATTTGTGTGTTACCTGTGTATTAATTATTGTAATTAAGTTTCATTTCTATATTTAATATTACTATTGTACTTTGAGTGTAATTGCTGTATAACTTTCATTTAATTTTATATTGTATTGTTTTATAAATGATAGAAATATTGGATTAAGAATCCAGTCGGCGGGGAGTGTTACGAGTTTGAAATATTTCTTTCTTTGAACTTTTGTGGCAACGCTGCGCGAGTGGAGATCGTCTAGGCAACGAGGAAGAGAGTTTCACTCTCGACCTACGCAGTCATTAAGTAACGATACTTCTGTTCTCGGTACGAAACAATGTAACTGTAATTTCTGTAATTATAAATAATACTGTTCATTAAAATTTGTGCTGTAAAACTAACTTACAGTCTACTAATTTGACGGATATACGTAACAGTTCGAGTTCCTTTTTTCCCTTTTAAAAACTTTTTGCGTTGTCCGAATAAATTACTCGACAATTGCCTCTCCTAGATGAATGCCTCTCCTTTTGAATGCCATCAAGAAAGAATCCGTCGAAATATTTAGATATATATATAAATCCGAGAAATTCGGTACAAGTTCTAGATGTATGGCTCTAGTGATAGCGCAAGTAAATAATGTTACATAGGCTTTTTGACTTCCTTCGATGTTTTTTACGTAAGTCGGTTCAGCGAAATCGATGCCAGACACGTAGAATGGTGGTGTCTCGTTGATTCTATTTTCTAGAAGTTGAGAAGTGGTCTGGTTAGCAGAGTTCAATCAATTTCTCTTACAAATAAGACACTTGTTTATTATTTTCTTGACAAACTGACGTCCTTTTGGGATCTAAAAGCGACTTCGAATTTCAGCTAAGGTCGTTGCTACTCTTCCATGCATCATTTTAACATGTACACTTTCTACTATCAAACTCGTTAGTCGGGAGTCTCTTGAAAGGATTGCCGGATGTTTTTCATCATGTGACAAACTAGAATGTTCTAATCTTCCACCCGCTTTCAGTATACCGTTCTGGTCTAAAAAATGGGTTAAAAAGATATAAAGATGATTTCTTTTCGACTTTATTCGCTTTCTTCAGAGACTCGATTTCTTTGAGATAAAAATGTTCTTGTTCAGATCGAATCCAATAACTTTCGGCATCTACTATTTCTTCAGTTAATGGATCTGTCAAATGGTTTGTTTTCCTAATTTTACCGAAGAATCGCTTTATCCAACCAGTTATTCTCAACAATTTTCTTAAATTACTATATTTTGAGATGTGTATAAGCTTTTCTTCAACTGCTGTGCACACAAATTCATAAATATCATTAATGTTTTTGCGGTATTCTAATTCTTCTTCAATGATAGGTTTCTTTTCATTCTGTCAAGGCCACAACTCAGACGACATTCTAAGCGATTCTGGTCCTTGAAAACATATAGGATTGTTTTTCAACTCATTAAGTTTAGCTCCTCTCGAAGCTAAATCAGCGGGATTACATTTACCGGGGCAATAATGCCAATTTTCTGGGATTGTTAAATTTTGTATTTCTTGAATGCGATTTTTAACGAAGAGCTTAAATTTATTTGCACTGTCTTTTATCCAGAAAAAGTGTGTGATTTTGGAATTGGGTCCAAAAAAAAAAAAAAAAAAAAAAAAAAACAAAACAAAAAACAAAAAAAAAAAAAAAAAAAA